TTTTTTTTTTTTCTTTGAAATTGTAAGAATATTATTATCTATTAATAATTGAGAGATCAACTATTCTTAATCATATTAAACTTCGTACTAGACACAACATAGTAACTCAATACATAGATCTCTCTATAAATAAGTATCGAATTAATCTCTCAACCGATTTGCAATAGTCGCGCGCAATCGACACGGATCAGAGACGATATTTCCAATTACAGTGCAGAATTTTCCCTTCTTCGCACCGAGACGAGCTTGCAAGGATTTATGGGCCACATTTGCATGGAACATCGGTTCGCGACAGACGTCTCTATCATCTGAGATACGACGCGACGCGCAACGTGTGAATCCTCGATGACAGTTCGCGGAGGAGGCCGCTTTCACTGCTCTACCGCATTAGAATTACAAAAGGTGTCGCTTGGTATTGTCTCCAGGTGCTGTACAATGTGTTGTCGTCCGGATATCGTCGTTACGGGCTGCCATCTCGCACCCCGTACAACTTGGCTGAGGGTGCGTCGCGCACGAGGAGTCGTCACCAGCTGATGAACCCGAAGAGGAATCGTCGAGCAGCGTTGAACGCCTCTGACTGCGAGGACAATAGCAGCGGCGGTGAAGAAGATTTCACTCAGGTAGGAATTTTTTTTGATAACATTGGAGGCAACGATGGATAATTTTATCCTCTCTTTGTTTTTATTTTCCACTTCGAAATTGAAGGAAAGAGAGGCCTTATCGCTTTTCTTTGTATCTCCATTTTTATTTTTTATATCGTGAGATTATCTTACGTAATAAATTATGCGCTGTACATACGTATGCAGGAATTATTTAATTAATATATTAGGCGTTATTAAATATTCAGGAATATTCCAAGACTATTTTGCAATATATTGTTCCAATTGAAAGGCGAAAACATAGAAAAATTGAGAAAATGCTAGATATTTTAACTGAAAGCAATGGAATTAACTCTCTATTTTAATGTAAAGGTTAAAAAGACATTTTTCAAAGTGATATAAAATCATATAATAAGTTAGGAATAGGGACTTTTATTTCTTGACATGATGCAAAATTTTCAAAACTGGAATATTAGAAGAATAAGAATACTTTATTAATATTTTGATATAGAAGTTGAAAGTTAAAATTGTAAAATTTATCATATCTCAGAGAATTTTATAGATCACTGCCAGTACTGATGAAGATTGTAAACCTTCTTAAAAAGAATTTTTGAAATTTTTAAAGTGCCTTACAGGCATTTAAATTCGTCGCTACTAGAATTCTTAGAATTTTAAGTTTTATCAGTCCACATTCCTGATACGCATACATGCAGAAATAATAGCATTGGTATATTGTTAGTATCACTATCGATATATTCTCGCAAATTATCCGAAGCCTAAGAAGCTAATTGCATTGCTAGCAAATCGTTGACAAGTCCAACGAAACGATACTTGCAGAAAGTATAGTTTTTCCTAATTAAATTTTTTATTATAAAGTTATTGATAATTTCCTTCATAATTCACTTATATTTTACTTCGTGAAAAATGTACGTGGCAAGCAATTGAAATGTTAATCTATGTAAATTTTACTATTGGGTATCATATTAAACACAGCATTAAATTCTATTTCCATTAAAATAATGAAAATATTTATGATACAATACCTTATGATACCTCATAGACAATTTACAATTTACATAGGAATTTACTGAGAAATTGTTCTATGATCCAAGTTTCATAAATTTGAATGATTAGAAATGAAATAAAAATCTTAAATAATTTTATGTCGAAATTACAAAGCAAGGAAAGAAATAAAGCAAAGATCTCCGGTCTTTTATAAAACGATGTAGGATTAAATCAACTGCTGTTTAATACAATGTTTATTCTTCGTTCAAAAGGATTTTTCGTTTACGTAACAGAGTTTAGACGTTGCATTCTTTTAATACAGGGTAACTACTTATAGCTATGGTTCTTGATAACTGAATAGCCGTTTTAAAACTGACATCATCGTTCAGGTACAGTTTCATGGTGACTTCGAAGCTGCGATTGAATTATCAGATGACTTAATTCTTTTTCTGTTGCATTTATATCATTTTCTGGTAGACTTTAATGAAGCTGTGCAACATATTAGAGGAGAAAAAAATAATCACGCGAGAGTAAAGTTAAAACGAGAATCATTTAGATTCGTACAATTTCCTAATAATTATTTTCTCGTTTAAGTTTTACAATGTAAAACTGCCAACTGTTGTAAGCAATTTAGTTATTTTAAATTTTTAGTCTCTGGAATTTGTAAAATGGTTTGTATGAAAGTGATTTCAAATTTTTGACGAGCAACTGATTGAAAGCAATTTAATACATACGAGTAATTAAATATTTGCTCAATTACTTTTAATTCTTAAATCTTTCAATCAAAATGATTTCAAACTGCCGACGAGTGGTTAATTGCTTATTAGTTCAATAAATTTAATATCAAAAATAATAGACAAACAGAGCACTGGACCTTTCCATTTCAGCAACTACAATTTCCTTCGTTTAGTTTCTCTTCCTCGTCACGTTGCTTTTTTTTCAGCAAATGATACGTACTTACTGCAACAACAACAACAATCAATATCTCAGTCTTTGATTACCCTTCGAGTATCTTGATTAATCCTTCTGTTCACTCGGAACAGATCACTACGTCTGTTCACGTTCAATTCTATTGTAATGATACATGTAGATACATATGTACTCGAGTCTTGATGTTCAGAACCATGTAATTAACGATCAATTTGGAATTAGATCGATAAGAAATAGGGATATCGTGAGGATAATAAACGGCTAACCAGTTGGAATTTATGTAGAACCGATCTTTTCAATTACTATTGATCTTGCAGCTAGTATAAGTTCTGCTGGTAATCAATAATGATTCGAATTCTTAAATTTTCTTGTTTTCTATAGTTCCTCTAGCATTATTTTATTTTGCTCTATATCTGCTGTGATTCTGCTAATCAAT